AGGAACCGAAAAGTGACGAAAAACCGATAGAAGAAGAGAAACCAAAAACTGAAGATAAACCAAAACCAAAGTTTAGTTTCCAAACTAAACCAAGTCAACCTTCATTAGCTGGTATGGGTTGGCGTCAAAGACTTATGGCAGCAGGCGGTTATGTAAAGTAAAGAAAAAATATTTTTTTATTTTTATAAAAATGCCCCATATAGAATGGATAGAAAGTCTGCTAGAATAAAAGCAGAGTTACAAAGATATGGTTGGAGAGTTTCGAAGAATTTTAAATATAGGAAGGGAAGACCCATAAAAGTCTATGACAAATTGTCTGGTCTTCGCTACGAAATGGATTTGGAAACAGCACGTGCCAATTATCCAAACAGACTAGAGAGGTTAGAAGAAGAACGTCTTATGGACATGCCTTTCGATGTTAGTGAACCTCAAGTTGAAGGACACGACGGCTTTGCCAGATTCTACTGGAAACATGACGAACAATTGCATCCTTTGAGAAGGAAAAAAGGAAAAGGTGAAGACGCACATGCTCCCATGGAAAGAACAAGATATGCATATGAAAAGTATCGTGAAGTTAGAAGTCAAATTACATCTGGTCGAACCTTTACAGTAAACTTTGACGAAGGAAAGAACAAAGAAGGCTTCATGGGAGTACTTGCTGCAATTCAAGACGGAAATAAGAAAGGACACAATCTCAGATTGACCATAACAGATTTGGATGGTCACATTTACTATGCACATGGCAATGAACAAACAGCCGCAAAACTTCTTGACGCTTTCAAGACTACAAAGAGAGAACAAATGGTTGACTCCGACTCAGACATTTTGAATGCAATTGAAGGAATTGCAAGTGTCAAGTTCGAATGGTACCAACCTAACCCTCAAGCAGTCAGACAACATGCTGGATACTTCCCCTTCATAAATAAGTCTGACATTGACTTGACAAGGTATGGAATTTACAATTCAATTGAAACAATTGTCAATGAACCTTGCATTCTTACATGTCTCAGGAACTCTGGTCTTGTTACAGATGAGAAGATGAAGTATCTTGAGTCATGTGTGAAGACAAGGTACATTCTCAGAGGTCAATTGGCAAAAATTGCACCGTTGGCAAATGTCAATATCCGAGTCAACATACCTACAGCTAAAGGTTCTTCACATGACGACTATGTTGTTGACAAAGACTTACCATGGTTGAAGATTGTAATTGTCCACAACCACTTCATGTTGAACGAAAGTCTTACAAACCCATTCTTTGGTAAAAGTAAGTGCAACATTGTCAGAGCTGTCAACATTCTTTTCAAGAAAGGTTTGTTGGAACCAATTCCAGATGACAAGCTGACAGAAACTTTTGTACCAAAAGACGAAACAAACTTTTCATTGTTAGCAAGACCAAAAGTTGTTCCAGACAAAGTTCTAGTACAAAAGAAGTACACGGTTCCACAAGGGGTTGGTATGTTCAGATACCAACCTGAACCAGAAGAACTTCCAATGAGGTTGCAAGAACTTCAAGATGCTATAAACAAACTTCCATTGAGACATCCAATTGACGTCAAATTATATTGGAGAGCATCTGAGTTAGGTCAGAAGGTTTTATATGAAACAGGTTGCTTCGACGATGTTTATGAGATAACAGGAGAAGTTTCTCAGAAGATAAGAGACTCACTTGAATTTCCACAAACTGGACCAATTGGTTGCAACAAGTTCGACTCAGATGAAAAGATATACTATGTCGACCTTAACGCTGCATACATGAGGTTTGTCCAATATATTCCGACTGGAATTCCAAACGAAGATGGTGAGTTCCCGGGAAGGAACTATACAGTTGGAAAAGTCATACAACAACTGTATGATATTAGGAAAGCTTCAAACCCCAAACTTGCAATGACACTCAAATTGCTTATGAATTCGACATGGGGATATTCCATTAAGAAACCTCAAGAGATGAAGAGTAAACATTATGAGAAGGTCGACAACTTTGTTGAAGGGTTTTCTCCTTTTGTTTTGAAGTACGAATTCACTCAAGGTCAAAGTGGCTTAGTAACCACATTAAAACCTATTGTCGAACATTGGTCTTACCCTCAGTTCGCAAAGGCAGTCCTTGACAACTACAATGAGTTCTTCTCCGAAGTCAAATCCAAAGTCAAGGTTTACTATGAGAACATTGACGCACTCATGACGAACGAAGAAGGCTATAACAAACTCATTGAAATGGGAATGGTCGGTGAAAAGATGGGTCAATTCAAATTGGACAAAATTTTCACCGAAGTTCATGTCCTCTCCAAGCGTAAGTACTGGGGTGTTAAAGAAGATGGTGAAATAGTTAAACATTGCATGAAATAAAAAATTTTTATTCGAATTTGAATTTAAATGTGGGAATTCTTGGGAACGGGAAAGGCTTATTTACTTGAGGAACAGGTAAAGGTGGTGGAGGTGGTGGCAACCAGTCCATTTTATATTCCTTCCTAGCTAATTTCCGTTTAATTTCATGGTCGCCCTCGGAGTCTTTGAATCGGACAGGTCGAGTTACACCATTCTTGGTCTCAAACTCATATATAACCTGTTTGTCTGTATTGTTGTAAGACGAGTTACGGAAAGTGAGGTGAACCGAAAAAGTGACACTTATTTGGTCGGATAAATTCCCTATATATTTACTTGTCAAAAAAAATCAGACTTTTTTTGCTTTAAAAAATTTATAAGTTAATTATTGAGAACGAAGGTGAAAGGAAATGGATATCTCTTACCTTTCATTCCCTCGAGAAAGTTCAAAAACTTGGGTGCAATCAGTTCTGATTGCACCCAAGTTTTTGAACTTTGTATAAGGAATTGTTGGCTATGATGCACTGATCATGAATCAGTACATCATAGCCAACAATTCCTTCGCAAACAGCGGGAAACTTTGTCCGAATAGTTTAACATTCGGACAAAGTTTCCCAACTTTCAAGCCGAAATTCGCGGATACCATTCACCAACTAGCTCTTGCTATGATGGTTATTAAAAATCAAGATCTATATTAAATTCAAAATCTACTCAAAGTCACTAATGTTCGATTTCGGAGTGTCAAATTACTGTACTACAGTTGCTGCTTCTTCTGCAACTTGCGTATCTCTGTAACGAAGAAAAAAAATATGTAAATGTTTTAAAAAGTAAGTGTTTATTCTTATTAATCTGACTGAGCTTAGTAAGAAGATGTAATCGATATTGTTAATTTGTGTTAAAAATTAGATTTTATTTTCGATTTTAAAATATTACCGAATTAATTTCTTTGATTGGCTCTCCTCTCGCGGAAATGTTGAAGAGAAATCCTCAAATCCTTAATTTCTCCATCAACTTTCCAAAGGGGTTCTTTGGTGGTATCATATTTTTCGCTGATATCATAAAATTTGTTTGGTGTAAACCAGGTATGTATTTCTGGATTTTTTGGTAACTGTGTATGTGGTGTTGCGTTATAATTTTCGATTAAATTTTGAATTTGATCCCAAGCTACCTCATCAACTTGAATATTCTGCCAAAATCTTTCGATTTTGCCATTCATGTAAGGGCAGTGTGGTATTATCGTGATTGATTCGACGTTTGCATTTTTTAATAAATTTTTGAAAACACCGTAGTTTTCAAGCCCATTGTCACTCCATATGGCAAACGGTTTGCCATATACATCGAAACATTGTTGAATGACACGACTTGTTTGTGCCGCTTCTTTAGTTTCGAGATGTGACCAAGCCAAAATTTTTCGTGATTTATCGTCAATAACGGCATATAGATATTCACCTTGGCGATGATTTAAAAAGTGAATATCTACATGCCATATTTCATTAACGTAAAAAGCTTCGTATTTTGTTTGACCTTTTGCCTTTGAATTTTTTGGCGGTTGTGCAAGATTGAGAAGTTTGAAACATTTATTAACAGTTCTTTCGGAAAATTGAATGTTCAATAATTTACGGTCAAAATAATCTGTAGTTTTTTCAAATGTTGAAGTTGTATTTGTGCGTATTGAATATGGGTCATCTTCTGAATTTATATCCGATTCTGTATCAATTGAATTTGGACTTGATGAAAATAATTCTTCGGCTGATGAATCGTCGGAATTTGAAGAGATTTCTGATGATAACTGTTCAGATGAACTTGAAATGTCAGGAGAACTGTAATCAAACTCTGAATTTTGATTCCGTTGAGACAATTGTGGAATTGGAAAATGAATTTGAATATTTTGTTGATTTTGCATTTGCGATTCAAGTATCATTTGACGATCTGTTATAATTCGGCCGAAAGCCCGGGAAATTCCTATTTTTTGAACTTTATTATGTAAATTTTGGACAGTATTTATTAATTCTTGTGGTGGATCTTTTGGTTTTGGACCTGTACGTAATTTTGGAATTTCAATTTGATTGAAATTAAGAGCGTTTTTAAAAGTTTTATGTGATATTGTGGGAAGAATTCTTCCATCTGTTAAAGGGACATTTTGGAGAACGGTTTCGACGTTAATACCGCTTTGAATTTGTTGATTAGCTTGATTTAACCATTCTAAATCAATTAAATCGAAGATTCTACCACTCATTTGAAAATTATAAGTTTTGAAAAAAACCGTAAATCATTATTGAATCTAAAAATATTTATGTACAAAAAGTCGGTATATATTCTATAATTATTTAAAATAATGAAAAAGTTGATTTGTGAATCATTGAAATATTAATGCTGTTATATATATATATCAGATGATATAAGATGATTTTTTTAAATAAAAAATAAAATTTAATTTTTTAATTGTTAAAATAAGAATAGTAAGCTTGACAAGTAATTTAAGTTTTTGCTTTGTAAAGTTATTTGGTTGGCAAATGCATTGTGTCACTTTTTGTTTGAGTTCACTTTCCGTAATTTGTCTTATGATAGTATTTTCGTCGACTATGGCACGAGACACGAACATTGACCAAACGGACAAAAAGTGTCATTTCGGATGGTCAAGCAGCCAATCGCATTCGAGCACTTCGAAGAAGCCTTACGTTCCAAGGGAGAGGGTGTCTGGTGCAAGGCAGAGGTCATGAGACTCTACGAGCAGTACATCCTCAATGCCTGGGAGGACAAATCGTCCTTGAATTGGCAATTCTACCAACTCCTCTGGGACGACCTCCTACGCAACTGGGAAGATAACGAAAGAGCCCAATTCAAAGGTCGGGAGCTAATTTTCCAAATTACCATTAATAGTGCCTACTTATCCAACTAAACACTTAAATTTACTTGGGGTTTCCCCCTAAAATATTTTTTACTCTTAGAACCACTCGAGGTTCTCCTTACGGTTGTTGAGCTTGTCACCGTCAATGTGTCTGACCTTCGTCTTCTTGCCTGGATTTGGAACCCATTGAATTGCGACAAGCTTGCCCATGGAGTGTTGTGCATGAAAAATAGCGTGACTTCACTTTTGACAAAAAGTGACACTATTTCTGATGGTTTTGTCATTTATTTGTCAGATTTATAAATGGATAATAATGCTGTAAATCAGATATTAATTAAAAATATTTAAGATTTATGTTCGAATTGAAAAGCAAAATGATATTTTTTTAATTGAAAAACGTTAATATCTGATATTTTGAAGTTTTTAATATTTGTTAGTATCTTAAATTATTGAATGCATACATTTTTTATGTTCTCAATTTTAAAAAATTGTGAAGAATTTAGTTTTTTGGAGATGGATGTTTAATATTTGTGAGTGAGAATGCAAGCAGGAGTTTGGTACTTTAAGGCTAGGTTGAGATAGATTTCCCATTATATTATCTGTGAATATTTTGCTTGAAAATTCAAGATATAAAAATATATTATCAAAAAATTTTATATTTTTAAATACAATAGGGTGGAAATATAGTACGATGAGATAGCAATGATATATTTTATAATGGGAGGTAATCTGAAGATAAGTAGCAAATTTTATGCGATTTTGATTGGGAGTTGGAGGGTGTGAGTACTATAGCATGTAATAGTATCTCACACCCTCCAATTCTTCCTATGGCGCCGAAAAATTTTTGGTGAAATGCGACGACATTTCACCAAAAAATTTTCGGCGCCATATAGAGAACTATAGTCTGCGAGGTACTGATTCTATCTATGTACCTCGCAGACCATAGTTCTCAGCCAAAATGTCAAAAATTTCGGAAATTCGAAATAATTTTTTTTGAGAAAAAATTAACCGTTTAACATAATATTTATAATATTGCTTATTCAATTAGACGGATTAAAAATTATATGTTTTCTTTTTATTTTTTCAATTCAATTATTAGCTGACTCGAATTTGTATAAGTTTTTTAAAATAGATATCAAACATTAAATATAAAAAAGAAAACAATTAAGAATATTAAAGTAAATTCTTTATTAAGAAACAATAAAATGAAAATATAAAACTTTGTATGATTTGAGTGGATATTGAGAGTAATTTGTGAGTGTGCTTCAGCTGCATATGTAAGATTGTTCGGATTTAATTAAAAATTGTAAATTTTTTGTCTTTATATCAAACTATTCGACAAAACTTTGTATGATTTGAGTGGATATTGAGAGTAATTTGTGAGTGTGCTTCAGCTGCATATGTAAGATTGTTCGGATTTAATTAAAAATTGTAAATTTTTTGTCTTTATATCAAACTATTCGACAAAACTTTGTATGATTTGAGTGGATATTGAGAGTAATTTGTGAGTGTGCTTCGGCTGCATCCGCTAATTCCTTCTTCATTCTTAACATTCTTTGTTTTATTTAGAACTATATTATCTTATTTCTAAAAATAATACTGAATTTTTTAAAAAATCCAAATGTAATAAATGTAAGTGTTTATTCCTTAACTTCCTTTTTGTGATTTTTTGAATTTTCTTGTTTTTGAAATTATTTGTTAATCTCTAAGATTTTTTTCGAAGCCTGGTTCAGCGCAGAGATCTTTTGTCCATTTGGGGCCTCTTTCCCAGGCCTCAAATGGAGTCAATTTCTCCCCAAAGAGTTTGAATAATGCGGAGTGTTTCCATACCCTATTATACTGGGAAACAACATTGGGGATGAACTCAAAGACGTTCACTCCAGGGTTTGTCTTGAAAAGAGTCTCCCAACTCCTTTCAATTTTTCCATTT